AAGTTCAAATCACCTAAGCTCTGACGTGGCCTTTCACCAAGTTTAAAAAAGCAGTAAACTATTGTGAATTACCAAATCAAATATTCCGTTTCTAATTATCATCGTATCTAGATATAATATAATATAGAAAACTAGATATAATATAATATAATATAGACATAATATAGAAAACAGAAACATCTCAAAATATGAAAAACAATTGAGCATAACATTGAGTATAACAAGTTTAAATTAAAAAAAAAAACTAAAAGGACATGTTAATATCGCATATCCTTAAAATTATCGCGAGTTTTAATTTAATATATCTAAAGCCTCTATTAAAACTTGGTGCACGTGTATCTCGAGAAGACAAGGTCATTAGTTGGTATAAAAAACGAGCATCACAGTAATATATATTTATAAAATATAAATATTTAGTGCATTGTATAAATACATAATAAAATCTTGTTCCGAATATACTTCTCTCATAGCAGAATTTGCATTATTGTTAGTATGAAGTTACATATTTCTATATGATTTCAGCGCGTAAAGAGCTCACATGTAATCGCATTTATATCGCTAATATTTTTTTTCCACAAAGTAGCTTTTCCTGTTATCAATATAAAAATGACCTGTTTGTAACACAAAAAACGTATAGTTCGAAAGTAATTTAACTCTGACTACACGTATAAAAGAAATCTTTTTACACTGAAACACTGTCACGTGCATTTGTAGCAGTGGAACAAATAGAAGGACTTTATGTAACGTGATGAAAACTGTTACTTCCAGATGAACGTTGCAATCACCAGTTACAAAGCAGAAAAGGACAAAGTTAAACACTATGATTTTCTTATTTGCCTCAAAGGTCGACGGACACATATCGGAAGGTTAAGAAGAGTTTTCACAGAAGAAAATCTCGTCTCTTAGGATTTACGACTTCATTTATAGACTTTATTGCGCTACCGATCTCTCGCACGCAACGTTTGAATTCTTTAAACGCGCAAGCGTATGGGAGCAATGTAGTTGACTTCACGGCCGGCATTGCGCTTCTATGATCAGTTGCGATTCAGCTCGCGTTCTGATTTCGTGTTAAGTGTAAGTTGCGTAACAGATGAAGTCAGTGAGTATCGTCAAACATTAGACAGAGTTTATAAAGAAATGTCGCGTAACATATATAGTCAGAATGATATTGTATATGTAATGCAACCAACCCGTAATCTCATGCTCGCAATAGGCGTCTGGCCATCCGAAAACGAAGAAATATCCTTATTCCGAAAAATTTACAATCTTTTTCTAAACTTTAGCACCAATTTTCTTTTGGCCTGCGATTTTATACCCGGTGGCATTTATTGGCTGTTGGAAAAATCAGTGCGTGTGCGACTACAGATGAGTCCTCTTCTCCTATACGTTATCATGGCTTCCTTTCAATATGATGTTCTTCTATTTCGCAATAGTAGAATCAGACAATGTTGGAAGCATGTTGAAGAAGATTGGAAAAATGTCCTCAGTATGGATGCGCGTAATGTTATGTTCAAGTGCGCGAAATCTGCAAGGTTCCTGATTTTTATCTGTGCAAGCCTTATGTACTCTGGCGCATTTATGTACCATATAATAATGCCATTATCTCAGAAAAAGATTGTGAACGATCAAAATGTCACGATTAGACCATTGGCCTGTCCAGTTAATTATTTATTCATCGACACACAAGTTAGTCCCCTTTATGAGATACTGTTTATATCTCAGTCAATAGCGGGAATCCTTATGGTTTCAATCCCGACGTGTGCATACTGCCTTATAGCAACTTTCATGGAGCATGCTAACGGTCAGATGAAGATCTTGATCTGCTTGATGAAAAACCTCGTTCAGAACAAATGGGAAAAAGAAAATGAAATAGATAAGAAGATAGCTAGAGTAGTCGAACATCAAATACGAGTACACAAGTAAGCCTATAGATTATTAGTATAATTAGTGTTTTTCATTTTTCAATATATACCGAATAATTTAATGTTAATTTATGAAAAAACAAGTATTATATATCATTTTTGTATATTACTATTTCTTTTATAATTCCATTGGAGCATATTTCTATTTTTTTTGGTCCAGATAGTGTAACTTCACTAGTAATCGAATTTCAGTTTTGTTCAGATGGTGCAATACACTTTGCAAGAAATATGTTTAGTAGAAATAATGGCAAATACCTTTCCCATCTGCCTCGTGCTATATTTTATAGTATTGGTTTGTATGAGTTTTTATTAGTTGATTTTATTTGAATAAGCTGAATCGAATATTTTGGCAAATGTAATGATAAATTAATATAAATAACACAAATTTGTTGGGACGGCACGATAATTTTATTATCGTTAATTTGTTCTTAAATGTAAATATATTGATTATTATATATTGATACAATTTGCAGGAAAAAAATGATTTTACAAATACCTAATTTCATTTGCCAATATTTGTTACATTATATATAAATATATAAGTATATATGTACATATATATATATATATATATATATTTATTTATTTATTTATTTATTTATTGTAGGATTGGAATACCAACAATATAGGAGTTATATGTTCTTATATATTAAATATTGTAAATGTT